GGGGTATCAATCCTCCTATATGGTAGAAATGCTTCTCATCACAGATGAACAGATTTGTAGCAACAGAAACAAAGAAAAGAGTACTGAAATGTTCTGGGGCATCAATCCTCCTATATGGTAGAGAATGCTAGACAATCTCATCACAGATGAACAGATTTGTAGCAACAGAAACAAAAGAAAAGTACTGAAGAATACTGAAATGTTATGGGGTATCAATCCTCCTATATGGTAGAGAATGCTAGACAATCTCATCACAGATGAAACAGATTTGTAGAAACAGAAACAAAGAAAAGAGTACTGAAATGTTATGGGGTATCAATCCTCCTATATGGTAGAGAATGCTAGACAATCTCATCACAGATGAACAGATTTGAAGCAAAAGAACCAAAGAAAATAATACTGAAATGTTATGGGGTATCAATCCTCCTATATGGTAGAGAATGCTAGACAATCTCATCACAGATGAACAGATTTGTAGCAACAGAAACAAAGAAAAGAAATGTACTGAAATGTTATGGGGTATCAATCCTCCTATATGGTAGAGAATGCTAGACAATCCATCACAGATGAACAGATTTGTAGCAACAGAAACAAAGAAAAGAGTACTGAAATGTTATGGGGTATCAATCCTCCTATATGGTAGAGAATGCTAGACAATCTCATCACAGATGAACAGATTTGTAGCAACAGAAACAAAGAAAAGAGTACTGAAATGTTCTGGGGTATCAATCCTTCTATATGGTAGTGAATGCTGGACAATCTCATCACAGATGAACAGATTTGTAGCAACAGAAACAAAGAAAAGAATACTGAAATGTTCTGGGGTATCAATCCTCCTATATGGTAGAGAATGCTAGACAATCTCATCACAGATGAACAGATTTGTAGCAAAAAACAAAAAAAAAATACTGAAATGTTATGGGTATCAATCCTCCTATATGGTAGAGAATGCTAGACAATCTCATCACAGATGAACAGATTTGTAGCAACAGAAACAAAAGAAAAGAATACTGAAATGTTATGGGGTATCAATCCTCCTATATGGTAGAGAATGCTGACAATCTCATCACAGATGAACAGATTTGTAACAGAAACAAAGAAAAGAATACTGAAATGTTCTGGGGTATCAATCCTCCTATATGGTAGTGAATGCTGGACAATCTCATCACAGATGAACAGATTTGTAGCAACAGAAACAAAGAAAAGAGTACTGAAATGTTATGGGGTATCAATCATATGGTAGAGAATGCTGAACAATCTCATCACAGATGAACAGATTTGTAGCAACAGAAACAAAAGAAAAGAGTACTGAAATGTTGTGAAATCATCACTCATCACAGATGAACAGATTTGTAGCAACAGAAACAAAGAAAAGAGTACTGAAATGTTATGGGGTATCAATCCTCCTATATGGTAGTGAATGCTAGACAATCTCATCACAGATGAACAGATTTGTAGCAACAGAAACAAAGAAAAGAGTACTGAAATGTTATGGGGTATCAATCCTCCTTATGGTAGGAATGCATCAATCATCACAGATGAACAGATTTGAAGTAACAGAAACAAAGAAAAGAATACTGAAAATGTTGGATCAATCCTCATCACAGATGAACAGATTTGAACAACAGAAACAAAAGAAAAGAATACTGAAATGTTCTGGGGTATCAATCCTCCTATATGGTAGAAATGCTGACAATCTCATCACAGATGAACAGATTTGTAGCAACAGAAACAAAGAAAAAGAATACTGAAATGTTCTGGGGTATCAATCCTCCTATATGGTAGCGAATGCTAGACAATCTCATCACAGATTTGAACAGAAACAAAAGAAAAGAGTATTTTATGGGGTATCAATCCTCCTATATGAAATGCTGGACAAATCACAGAAACAGATTTGTAGCAACAGAAACAAAGAAAAGAATACTGAAATGTTATGGGTATCAATCCTCCTATATGGTAGAATGCTGGACAATCTCATCACAGATGAACAGATTTGTAGCAAACAAAACAAAGAAAAGAATACTGAAATGTTGTGGGGTATCAATCCTCCTATATGGTAGAGAATGCCCAACAGAAACAAAGAAAAGAATACTGAAATGTTCTGGGGTATCAATCCTTCTATATGGTAGTGAATGCTGGACAATCTCATCACAGATGAACAGATTTGTAGCAACAGAAACAAAGAAAAGAATACTGAAATGTTCTGGGGTATCAATCCTTCTATATGGTAGTGAATGCTGGACAATCTCATCACACAGATGAACAGATTTGTAAATGAAACAAAGAAAAGAATACTGAAATGTTCTGGGGTATCAATCCTTCTATATGGTAGCGAATGCTGGACAATCTCATCACAGATGAACAGATTTGTAGCAACAGAAACAAAGAAAAGAATACTGAAATGTTCTGGGGTATCAATCCTCCTATATGGTAGAGAATGCTAGACAATCTCATCACAGATGAACAGATTTGAAGCAAAAGAACCAAAGAAAAGAATACTGAAATGTTCTGAGGTATCAATCCTTCTATATGGTAGTGAATGCTGGAATTTGTCATCACAGATGAACATATTTGAAGCAACAATCTCAAATGAAAAGATTTGAAGAATACAAAGAAATGTTCTGGGGTATCAATCCTCCTATATGGTAGTGAATGCTGGACAATCTCATCACAGATGAACAGATTTGTAGCAACAGAAACAAAGAAAAGAGTACTGAAATGTTCTGGGGTATCAATCCTCCTATATGGTTTGTATGAAATGCTAGAAATCTCTCATCCTCAGATGAACAGATTTGAAATCAACAGAAACAAAAGAAAAAGAGTACTGAAATGTTATGGGTATCAATCCTTCTATATGGTAGTGAATGCTGGACAATCTCATCACAGATGAACAGATTTGAAGCAACAGAAACAAAGAAAAGAATACTGAAATGTTCTGGGGTATCAATCCTCCTATATGGTAGAGAATGCTAGACAATCTCATCACAGATGAACAGATTTGTAGCAACAGAAACAAAGAAAAGAGTACTGAAATGTTATGGGGTATCAATCCTCCTATATGGTAGAGAATGCTAGACAATCTCATCACAGATGAACAGATTTGTAGCAACAGAAACAAAGAAAAGAGTACTGAAATGTTATGGGGTATCAATCCTCCTATATGGTAGCGAATGCTAGACAATCTCATCACAGATGAACAGATTTGAAGCAACAGAAACAAAGAAAAGAATACTGAAATGTTCTGGGGTATCAATCCTTCTATATGGTAGTGAATGCTGGACAATCTCATCACAGATGAACAGATTTGAAGCAACAGAAACAAAGAAAAGAATACTGAAATGTTCTGGGGTATCAATCCTCCTATATGGTAGAGAATGCTAGACAATCTCATCACAGATGAACAGATTTGTAGCAACAGAAACAAAGAAAAGAGTACTGAAATGTTCTGGGGTATCAATCCTCCTATATGGTAGAGAATGCTAGACAATCTCATCACAGATGAACAGATTTGTAGCAACAGAAACAAAGAAAAGAGTACTGAAATGTTCATCAATCCTCCTATATGGTAGTGAATGCTGGACAATCTCATCACAGATGAACAGATTTGAAGCAACAGAAACAAAAAAAGAAAAATGAATACTGAAATGTTCTCACAGATGAACAATCCTCCTAAATATGGTAGAAATGCTGGAAATCTCATCACAGATGAACAGATTTGTAGCAACAGAAACAAAGAAAAGAATACTGAAATGTTCTGGGGTATCAATCCTTCTATATGGTAGAGAATGCTGGACAATCTCATCACAGATGAACAGATTTGTAGCAACAGAAACAAAGAAAAGAGTACTGAAATGTTATGGGGTATCAATCCTCCTATATGGTAGAGAATGCTAGACAATCTCATCACAGATGAACAGATTTGAAGCAAAAGAACCAAAGAAAATAATACTGAAATGTTGTGGGGTATCAATCCTTCTATATGGTAGTGAATGCTGGACAATCTCATCACAGATGAACAGATTTGAAGCAACAGAAACAAAGAAAAGAATACTGAAATGTTATGGGGTATCAATCCTCCTATATGGTAGAGAATGCTAGACAATCTCATCACAGATGAACAGATTTGAAGCAACAGAAACAAAGAAAAGAATACTGAAATGTTCTGGGGTATCAATCCTCCTATATGGTAGTGAATGCTGGACAATCTCATCACAGATGAACAGATTTGAAGCAACAGAAACAAAGAAAAAGAATACTGAAATGTTCTGGGGTAAATCCTTCTATATGGTAGTGAATGCTGGACAATCTCATCAATGAACAGATTTGAAGCAAACAGAAACAAAGAAAAGAATACTGAAATGTTCTGGGTATCAATCCTCCTATATGGTGAATGCTGGACAATCTCATCACAGATGAACAGATTTGAAGCAACAGAAACAAAGAAAAGAATACTGAAATGTTATGGGGTATCAATCCTCTAATATGGTAGTGAATGCTGGACCATGTCCACACAGATGAAGAGACTTAAGGCAACAGAAATATGGTTCAACAGAAGGATTCTGAGAATAACATGTGAGCCACGACGAATTTTTAGAAACAGTGTAAACAAAAAAGGATACTTGTACTTAACATCAGGAAGAGATTGTTGAAATTTCTAGAGCATATAGGGAAGGAAAAACGTTTGGAGATTTTAACACTCACAGGGCCATATTGAAGGCAAGAGGGACAGACGAAAACAGCGGATAACATACTTAACAAGTTTTTGCAAATGGATGGCAGAACAGGGTTTAGGAGAGATAACAAAATGACAACATTTACTGGGCAACAAAGAAGACGATATCGTGAAGAGCCATGATCAGCAACACCCTGAAAGGACACGGCACAAAGAAGAATTGTTTATAAGATTTATCTACGATAACTATTTTTTGTGACTGAGGAAATATATACACATGTTTACGTGTTTGTGCCAATCGAGGAGAAATAGTTAATGTCTACGTAAAATGGAACATACGTACAATGTCAAATTATCTTTCCAAGGTAAACGCAAGTGACAGCTATCGTCTCTCAAATTACAAAAATAAACGCTGTTAAATTTGCTCGCCATCTACCATTATCTGTTATAAGTCGTATCAATTCTGCAGCAACAATTACAGTTCAAATCAACCTGGTGACATATCCACACTGTCTTTGCTTTTGACCTCTCTTTTGTCAACCTCTGACCCCGAGTCCCACTCCTTTAACGACATCGCTTTTTTTTTTCAGTTATCAAAACTTTCCCAGACTCAGCACTAATTCTCTTTTCCTCTTTCTATTCAAACTTTCTTTCTTTCTTTTCTTTCTTTTCTTTCTTTTCTTTTCTTTTCTTTCTTTCGTTCTTTCTTTCTTTCGTCCTACTATTTATTTTATTTTTTTATTTACTTCTTTCTTCGTGTTTTCTCTCTTTTACAGATTGTGATTTATCTGTCATTTTTATTCTATCTATCTATCTATCTATCTATCTATCTATCTATCTATCTATCTATCTATCTATCTATCTCTGTTTGTTCATATCTATCTATCTATCTATCTATCTATCTATCTATCTATCTATCTCTGTTTGTTCATATCTATCTATCTATCTATCTATCTATCTATCTATCACTGTTCATATCTATCTATCTATCTATCTATCTATCTATCTATCTATCTATCTATCCCTGTCTGTTCGTATCTATCTATCTATCTATCTATCTATCTATCTATCTATCTATCTATCCCTGTCTGTTCGTATCTATCTATCTATCTATCTATCTATCTATCTATCTATCTATCTATCTATCTGTTCTCATTCTTTCCACTTTCTTTATTTACCATTCTATGTCTGGATTTATCCGGTGTAGGCAGCAGAATCTACAAACCGAGTTCGAATTGGCAGCTGAATCTGTGCATTTTCTCAAACGCCCTCAACAAAAACATGAATTCGTTTGTTTTTTGTTTTTTTCACCGAACCTCCCCCAGTTATAAGTTAAATAGCAGGCTACATTGACATCTGTTGTGTTGAATGGCATCTAGTCTAGGAGAAAGAACATTGACATATGTGTCTGTGTGTGCCTGTGTGTGTGCATGCATGCGTTCGTCTATCTGGGACTGTTTCTTCTTTCTTGTCTCTTTAAATCGAGCTGCACCCACATCGCGGCCGGGTAACGCGCGCTATCCACCCGGATGCTTTGTGGAATCAAAGCACTGAGTGCCATTCGTCGTTGCAAGGTTATGTCGTCGGTCGCTTTAAGTTCGTTCCATGATGGTTCGTAAAAATGAAACTGTTCTAATTTAGAGCTGGTTAGATCTTCAGAATGTCTGACACACAATCCACTTAGCGACCCTGGCCAAAGTCGAAAGAGACCCAAGGTTGCGTGTAAATTACTCATGTACAATGGCGAACTAAGTGTTAGAAATAGTTACAAACATGCACGCAAGCACCCACATACACCCACATTGCAGAAATCCATATACGTACCTCATTAAAAAAAATGACTGACAACGTACATATTTACGATTTTATATTGTGTTTCTCTTGTCTCTGAACAAGAGGTCAGTCTTTTGAACTTAATGTATTCAGAAACAGTTAAAATGTTTATTTATCACGAGAGCTTTCGGTTAATTTGTTAATCGTTCAAGTTTTGTTACTGTACGGTGTGGCGTAATAGATAACGGCACAGAATGTGAAATTGGAGAGCTGAGTTCGAACTCCAGATAGGTACCATTCACTTGCGCGTTTATCCACTTCTTGCACTGCAGGACTTGGTGCTAAATCCTTGATTGACAGCCGGTCAACCCGAGATAGAAACTGCAACCTAATCTTCAAATCAGTCATGAATCGAAAGGTACATGATCGCCCAAGTATGTATCACGTATTCCACTTTCTTTAAAAAGTTGTAAATGGTGTGTAATTTTATGAGACGTAGACATAATTGGATGTACGTGTTGTTTAATTAATAGCTGTTCGGAATTCGAATTTCAGTCGAATTTATTGCATTTACTTAAGAAATAAATGAGTTCATCTCTTCTGCCCCAGTTATAGGTAAAATAATAGGGTAGAATTAGCTTTTTAGCCTGGGTTGGTAACCACTCTGAATTCTAATAGCAACTCCATCCCGTAAAAACCTATGTGCCACATATTTTTCTTTCCCAACACGGCCATACAATTATGGCCATGTTCGTTTTAGATGCTGTAATTTTTTTTTATTATAATTAGGGTTACTATTACTTTGATATATTTTTTAACAGATAGGGGTAGTGCATTACATTTCTGTTTGCGAGTTTAATTATATTTTTGAATATTTACCGCACATGATAAAGAGGTTGAAGGAGGTCAGCTTAGGTCATACTTTGTCACACATATCGGTGCTTCTCCTACTAAAGCTTATTACACACAGTAATTAACAGTGTTCACATCCATGGTTTGGTTACCGTAAATGTTCCGTAAGTGTGAAAATGTATATTCTTGTAGGCGAACAGGAGATTTCATTTTTTGACATTGCGCATTGCATTGTTCAGATGACTGCTCGTCCCGAAAATCTATTAGCTATTTTCAAAGTTTGGTTGTGCAATTTAATATATATATATATATATATATATATATATATATATATATATATATATATATATATATATATATGCACTTCGAGGTTATATAATATCAAGATTATCTCATGAAATCAATTACAATTGAGTAGTCAGTTCGATTCTTAGTGGGTGCTCCATACTTTCGCCCTTGTGCTACATCTATGGTATGCTTAGCAAATTGCTATATATATATATATATATATATATATATATATATATATATATAAGTGTATGTGTGTCTGTATCCAATCACCTCAGCACAGGAAAAACCTAACAAGAAATCCTGCAAATCATTACAAATAACAAATACTATATCACATAAACTGTAAAAACGATTACAAATATCAGAAGCATTAAGAATAAAAGCACAAAGCCCAACATCAATAAAATGTTAGCAAATTTAGGTGCAAACAATCTAAATATATTTAATTAATAACAACTTTAAAAACTATATAAACTTTTTGATAATGGCTTATGAAAGCCGAAATGCCTCAGGCTTAGGATTAAATAACTGGCCTCTCGTATTCGTATAGAGTGACTAGACAATCCCTATTGCAGATGCTTGCTCAGGCACATTTGTGTTTATTCAGCACCCACAGAGCCCATATTGCAACTATGCTGAGCAGACCTTAGTTACAGTTTCTGGGAAAGCGCATGTTATCTAGCGTGATCAACAATTTGGACAAGGCCAGCACTCTCATGCCCTCGACCACGATGACGTATGACTTCGTGTTAGCACAGTTATTGAGGGCCTCCAAAGATTCCGTCTGTCCAATATCACTCACACGGCTTAGGTCAACCAGTGGTATGGATTTCAGGCACTTTCCAAAGTTGCCGCACTCCTCCAGTCCGATAACAGGAAGTCTTTTTCTGGGTTTTTTTTTTTTTTTTTAATATTTTCTGTATTCGGAACGAAGTAATAATAATAAGTGGTGTATTTGATGACGAACTGTTTAATTCGACATTCTGTGTAAAATAGATGAGTGTGTTTATACGTGCATGTTTCTATGTGCGTACCACTGATGGTTGCTATTTGTCGTGGTGGAGAGGCTTGCGTGGTGCATTGACTCTGAGAGCGATGCTGTCGGGAATTCTAAACTCCTGGTAGGGCCACACTTGGCGGCAAGTTCGAAAATGAGGACCCAGACTAAGCGCAAGCAACCCCAACGGATGAAGATTACACGAGGGCTACGCATGACAGACATGCTACAGAAGGCGTGTCCTCGAAATTATAATACAGTCCATTGCAGTTTCGTAACTGGATTCTGCATGTCGACCATGGTGAGATTCGAACCTGGTTCTCGTCGTCAGAATGCGAACGTTCTAAACACTCGGCCATATTAAGGGATAGGTTAGATGAGATATAGCTATTTACCAGAGACCAAGAAAATGATTTGAAATATAGAAAGTAATTAAATTACGAAATCCTTAACAAAGAGTTTTAATTGATCTTTAAGCACAATTGGCATAGATAAAAAAGCTGCTCAAATTCATCTAAATTGCACAGAAATACATTACATGTTATGCAGTATTTATGTAACAACTACTGCAAATAATACCCGAAGTTGCTGCATATGTGCAAGAGAATGTATGATTCTAACATGACTAAAACTCCGCATCCATCCTGCCCATATCTGAGGATACATCAAGCGATAGCATTACTCAGAATGAAGTCGCATCTATGCAGATATCTATCTATCTATCCAAGTCTTTCTATCTATCTATCTATCTATCTATCTATCTATCTATCTAAGTCTTTCTATCTATCTATCTATCTATCTATCTATCTATCTATCTATCTATCTATCTATCTATCTATCAAGTCTTTATATCTATCTATCTATCTATCTATCTATCTATCTATCTATCTAAGTCTTTTTATCTATCTATCTATCTATCTATCTATCTATCTATCTATCTATTCCAGTATGTATATCTATATCTAGCTAGCTAGCTAGTTGCTATCACAATCTATCTATCTATCTATCTATCTATCTATCTATCTATCTATCTATTGCCCCTTCATATCTAATTATCTATCTACGAGGTCCTCTCTCAGACATATCTCACCAACATCGATGCTACCATCCTTCAACATCGCCTCAGCTGGGAGGTTCACGTGGCTAGAATACGTCAAACTTAACTCCCACGTAACATCCTGCTTGGAGGACAAAAAGCCTTCAAGGACCAATTAAAGACATGAGACCTGGAAACCATTACTGCAAGTCGGACTTCGAGGTTGGGACCGAGGGTTCGATTCCACCCGTCAACATGAAGTGAATCTGAGACGTACTGTCAGAAGGTCCCGACTCGCCCAGCCGTGTCCACCACCCATACCCCTCTCTGACTCCTGCTTACGCTTCTTCGGGATTAGGCTGGGCCTTCACACACATCTCCACCACCGCCAGCAGAGAGGGGAAAGGGAATAACGAGAGAGGGTGCGAGCGAGTGTCAACTAAAATTATCTATATGCGGGGAGCAGAAAAAGCATGTGCCTGTGTTGGTGGACTAAAACAACATTTAAACGTTCACTAAAATATCAATGTAAATACTACTAGAAAGAAAGACCTCCAACGTTGCCACATATGTGCAAGAGAATGTATGACCATAGCAGGACTGAGGTGTCATATTTGGGGATGAATCAATTAATGACCTTGCTCGAAAACGAGTTTTTTTTTCTTTAAGCATATGACACCAAACAAGACAGAAGTGTCACTAGCACACAAGGGGTTACCGAGGATTGAGAGCAAGAGTATGTTTGAGGAAAAGATAAATAGAAGGACGGAGGTCAAGATCAAGACATCAGAAGATGTCGATTGATATTACATTTGAATATTTGAAGCTATATAGCTATCAGGGAAACAAGTAGGGGGAAGGGAGTTCCACTCTTGGGGAGTGCGAGATAAGGAGCTGTTGGAGTAGAAGAGACGGCTACATTTAACCGTTTCGACAGTGACAGGGGGGAACCGAGACGCCAACCTCGTAGCACGCTTAAATTCATGCAGTTTGGGAAGTAGTGAAAGTAGCTCGTCGGGGCAGTTACCGTGAAAATATTTGTAGAAAAGACAGAGGGAAGCCACATAACGTCTGTAATAAGATGACTGTAGACGAGATGCCAGATCAGGACCAATCACGTTTCATATCCGTCTCTGGATTTTGTCGAGGACCTCGAGATAAACATCGGGAGCACCAGATCATGTAGGGCAGAAGTATTCCATGCAAGGACGATTGGTTGAATTTTAGATTTGAAGGATGGCGAGAAAAATCAGTCTCGACACAGAGAAACAACTTTCCTTCCGGTAGATTTGCAACCATTATGTATTTATATTCTTCTTCTATTCCTATGCTTTAAAGTGATATTTATATCCGTGCTGATATAATGTATTACGTGTGATGTCTTTGGCCATCATTATTGTTGAAACTTGACTAATGCATGGAATAATAATACAACACAAAATGTACTTAGAACAAAATGTATTGAAACAAGAAAGTGTACACAATATTTACATATAGTCTTTTGTATATTCTTAGAAAGACCGTTCCTGGAGAATGTGTTGACTTAGTCGCAGTCGAGCAGAGTCTCTGGATTGAATCTCTTGATTCCTCCCCTCGTCTTCCCGGTACCAACCATATTTATATGGTCGGTACTCCACTATGCAAATTAGGTGGATCCTACCACAACAATTATCAAGTTGCGGTTAAAAACTGCTGCTGGCAAACCATGTTGAAAACGTGTGATCTGTCTCTGCCATTTTGAGTAGTTTTCTCATGCAGTAGCCAGTTCATGCCTTTGTGATGTCTGTCGATATCTACACTTCTAACCCTGTACTCTTTTTACCGATGGTCTTCCCAGTTACGAGTAACGGCAAAATTCCTTCTCGTCACACCACGTGACCGAACATTGCTGCTTTTGCCCTGGCTAGTGTCGGGGGTAGAGAGAGAGAGAGAGAGAGAGAGAGAGATTATTGCGGAGGGATAATTTCTTGGATCACTGAGTTGTTCGTCCTCTTGTCGCTCCATGATATTCCCAAGATGCGTCTATAGCACTACATCTCAAAATCCATGATGATTTTCACGCTAGACGCTTTGAGCGTCCAAGTGTCTGAACTGTGCCGAAATACAGATCAGATATTACAATTTAAGGAAGCGCAGACCTGTTTGCAAATTACGCTTCCTGTTCGCCAACAGCTTCTTTAACTTCATGAAATAATTTTTACATATTATTATAATTCGCCTGACTTCTGACTGTAGCACACTTTCGATCAAAGGGACACAAGATAGATGAAGGATCTGATTTGCTCATTGCTATTAAACATTGATATACAAGAGCACCCAGTCATAACTGCTCAACGGATTGCTCATTGAGACCACCATCGTTTTGAGTTTGCTTGTATTGATCATAAACCAGTGATCTAAAGTTAATTGTCTGCGTCTTAAGGCTTCAAATTTGTCTGTAATTAACACGGGATCGTTTGCGTATCTGAAATGATTGATTCTTCTGTCATTTCCTTGGACAACAATGTTTTCCAGCTCATTTCGCATTGTTTGAAGATCCACTCTGAGTAGATGTTGAATAGCGTTGGAGAAGCGATGCAAACCCTGTGTTTTACACCTCGGCAAATTTCGAAGTGGACTGTTATCTGGTTGTCAGCCGTATTTTGATGCCAGTAAAATTTCCACAACTATGGAACATATTCTGCGAAGATTTTCAGCTTTCAAACGATTTCGATCAGTTTATCGTCTCTTTTCTCTGTCGAAAATCATGACACGATTTTATCTAGATATATTCTTGTTTTTTAATATTTGTCTTCTATTTATATTGATAAGTATATATTAATCATATCTGTTATCTTCAGTAATTAATCTATCAATCTATCTATCTTAATGTATAATATATATATATATATATATATATATATATATATATATATATATATATATATATAGAGAGAGAGAGAGAGAGAGAGGAGATGATAAACTAAGATAGATATACAGACATAATAAACTGAGATAGATCGATAGATAGATAAATTGACATTATAAAATTGTATAAACATATATATACATACATGTACATATATATATATAAGTGTACATATATATATATATATATATATACACATGTATGTATGTATGTATATAATTTTATTATCAAGCTACCTCACTTAATCTATCTCAGTTTGTTTGTCTATCTGTCGTTGTTTATTATCTCAGTTTATCATCTATCTATCTATCTATCTATCTATCTATCTCAGCCTATTCATATCTATCTATTTATCTATCTCAGTCTATTCATATCTATCTATCTATCTATCTGGAAAAGAAACATAA